TTTTTTTTTCTATGCCCCAGGGCAGATGAATCTATTCGGGTTCCCTCAGCACAATCCCTCCCCACTGCACTTTGCATCAAGAGCGGGTTCCCTTTGTAACTATGTCTCCATCCCTTTTGCCATCTTCTGTGTAGGTTCTTCATCTTTTGGGGTGTGGAAGCTGTTCAGTCAGCCCTTTGTTCTTTAGGTGAAGTTGGTCTATAAATTTGTGTAGACTTGGTGCGTCCATGGTGGAGGTGAGTTCAGGGTGTTCCCATATTACTCTCTTGGATTGGAACTACCAAGAGTTCATTCTTATTTTATGGGATAATGTACATATTTTATAGAATAATATATTCCGTTGTATATACCCACTACATTTTCTTTATTCATTCATCCTTCAATATGCACTTAGGTTGTTTCCATATCTTGTTTATTATAAATAGTGCTGCAATATCATTTTGAGTCCATGTTTTTTTGGAGTGTTTCTTTGGGTAAATATGCAGAAATGGAATTGCTGGATCCTATGATAGCTCTGTTTTTAATTTTTTTTACGTTTATTTATTTGAGAGAGAGAGAATGAGTGGGGGAAAGGCAGAGAGAGAGAGAATCCCAAGCAGCACAGAGCTTGATGTGGGGCTCGAACTCAAAACTGTGAGATCATGACCTGAGCCAAAATCAAGAGTCAGACCCCAGTTGCACCTATTTTTAAGTTTTTGAGGAACCTCCATATGTTTGCTACAGTAGTTGCACCGATTTACATTCCCACCACCAGTGTAAGAGGGAGCCAGTGTTTGCTATTTCTTGTCCTTTTGGTAATAGCCATTCTAATATGTGGAGGTGATACCTCATTGTGATATTGATGTGCATTTACCTAATGATTAATGATGTTGTGGATCTTTTCATGTGCCTCTTGGCCATCTGTATGTCTTTGGAAAAATGTGTTTAGTTCTTCTGCCCATTTTTTTTAAAGTTGATTTATTTTGAGAGAGTGCACGATTGTGCACCAGCAGGGGAGGGGCAGAGAGAGAAATGGAGAGAGAGAATCCCAAGCAGGCTCCACACTGTCAGGGCAGAGCCCAGTTTGGGGCTTGATCTTACAAACCTCAAGATCATGACCTCAGCCGAAATTAAGAGTTGGACACTTAACTGAGCCACCCAGGGGCTTTTTTCTTTTTTTAACTTTTTTCTTTTTTTTTTTTTTCATTCTAGAAAGGTAATGCTAAGGTTTTAAAGGGTGAGGAATATGGTAGACATTTGCTGTTATCTTGGCCACTTAACATCTGAAACCCCTTCCTAATTCAGAATTCCCCACTTTAGTATCTCGTGGGTAGAGGCTGAAAAATCCCAGATACTTGCTTTCCATTGCTTCTTTAGAGTTAATGTGCAGACATATGACTTGGGTATCATCATTCAGATGATCATACCAGACTTAGACTTAGGAGCTACTAACAAAAAATAAAACAAGTAACAGCATACCCAAAGCAAAAATAGCAACTAAATTTAGACATGATGAGGTGCTTTCTCTCTGGAAAACTCAATGTAGTGGTTGTTGGAAAAACCACTAAAAAAAGTTGCTCCTGGTACAGAGCTAGGGGCATGGTTATTGGGTGAGGTGGGTGGAATGATAAGATCTGATTCCCTACTGAGAGCCACTTCCTGTTTTTAATCAACTTATCTGATTAAAAAGAGGCAGTAACTGCTCATTGTACAAACTTGAGAGAATATAGAAAAGGTCACTGTGCGTGTGCTTCTATATATACATATGTAGGTGTATACACATATATACGTAGGAAATGTTTGAGTTTCTTCATAAAATTGGGATCATACCATAGTTTTGTGCTTCCCTTTTTAATGGAATTTCTATGCCATTCTTTGACAATACAACTCTAAATAGCTATATCATTTAAATATTCTGTTATTGAATGGAATCTCTAATATTTTGCTGTCATGATGCTTCAAAGAATGTTCTGATATCTAAATCTCAGACTAGCTCTCTGCTTATTGCTTCACGAGACATTTAGAGAGCAGATTACTAATTCCTGTATTTGTAACCTTTTTTATTTTTTTGATAAGTATACTCTTTTCTTCAAAACTTTTTTTTTTTTTTTTTTTTTTTTTTTTGGAGAGAGGGAGAGAGCATGCGAGAGTGTGCACAAGCAGGGGAGGGGCAGAGAGAGAGGGAGACACAGAATTTGAGGCAGGCTCTAGGCTCTGAGCTTGTCAGCACAGAGCCTGTTGCAGGGCTCAAACCTGTGAACCATGAGATCATTACCAGAGCTGAAGTTGGACGCTTAACTGACTGAGCCATGCAGGTGCCCCAGGAGGTGTACTCTTTAATCATTATCACCTATTTCACCCCTCCCCCCCCCCCCCCCCCCCCCCCATCTTCCCCCTGGTAACAATCAGTTTGTTCTCTGTAGTTAAGAGTCTGTTTCTTAGTTTGTCTCTTTTTTTTATCCCCCTTTGTTCTTTCATCTTTCAACATGAGTGAAATCATATGGTATTTGTCTTTTTTTTTTAACATGAAATTTATTGTCCACTTGGTTTCCATACAACACCCAGTGCTCATCCCTACAGGTGCCCTCCTCAATGCCCATCCCCCACCCTCCCCTCCTTCCACCCCCCATCAACCCTCAGTTTATTCTCAGTTTTTAAGAGTCTCTTATGGTTTGGCTCCCTCCCTAAGTTTTTTTTTCCTTCCCCTCCCCCATGGTCTTCTGTTAGGTTTCTCAGAATCCACATAAGAGTGAAAACATGTGGTATCTGTCTTTCTCTGTATGGCCTATTTCACTTAGCATAACAGTCTCCAGTTCCATCCATGTTGCTATAAAAGGCCATATTTTATTCTTTCTCATTGCCAAGTAGTATTCCATTGTGTATATAAACCACATCTTCTTTATCCATTCATCAGTTGATGGACATTTAGGCTTTTTCCACAATTTGGCTATTGTTGAGAGTGCTGCTATAAACATTGGGGTACAAGGGCCCCTATGCATCAGCACTCCTGTATCCCTTGGGTAAATTCCTAGCAGTGCTATTGCTGGGTCATAGGGTAGATCTGTTTTTAATTTTTTCAGGAACCTCCACACTGTTTTTCAGAGTGGCTGCACCAGTTTGCATTCCCACCAACAGTGCAAGAGGGTTCCCGTTTCTCCACATCCTCTCCAGCATCTATAGTCTCCTGATTTGTTCATTTTAGCCACTCTGACTGGTGTGAGGTGGTATCTCAGTGTGGTTTTGATTTGTGTTTTCTGGATGAGGAGCGACGTTGAGCATCTTTTCATGTGCCTGTTGGCCATCTGGATGTCTTTAGAGAAGTGTCTATTCATGTTTTCTGCCCATTTCTTCACTGGATTATTTGTTTTTTGGGTGTGGAGTTTGGTGAGTTCTTTATATCTGACCTATTTCAGTCAGATTATACTCTGTAGCTCCACCCATGTCTTTGCAAATGACAAGATTTCATTTTATGACTAAATAATATTCTATTGTGTATATATACCATCCATCCATCTATCAATGGACACTTGGGCTGCTTCCATAATTTGGCTATTGTAAATAATGCTGCTATAAACAGGGGTGCGTGTATTCCTTTGAATTAGTGTTTCTGTATTTTGAGAGAGAATACCTAGTAGTGTGATTCCTAGATGGTAGGCTAGTTGTATTTTTAACTTAAGGAACATCTTAACGTTTTCCAGAGTGGCTGCATCAGTTTGCATTCCCATCAACAGTGCACAAGGGTTCCTCTTTCTCCCCATCCTTGCCAACATTTGTTTCCTATGTGTTTGATTTTAGCCATTCTGACAGATGTGAGGTGTTTTCTAAAGAACTTTTTAAAGTTTCTTTTTGAGAGACAGAGAGAGAGACAGAGAGAGAGAGAGAGAGAGAGAGAATGAGCAGGGGAGGGGCAGAGAGGGAGAGAGAGAATCCCAAGCTGACAGCACAGAGCTCCATGCGCAGCTCGAGCCGTGACATCATGACTTGAGTCGAAATCAAGAGTCGAACATGGTTAATGGACTGAGCCACCCAGGTGCCCTGTGAGGTATTTTCTTATTGTGGTTTTGATCTGCTTTTCCCTGGTGAGTCATGTTGAGCATCTTTTCATGTGTCTGTTGGCCACCTGTAGGTCTTCTCTGGAGAAACACCTGTTCATGTCTTCTGCCCATTTTTCAACTGGATTATTAGTTTTTTGGGTGTTGAGTTGTAGCAGTTCTGTATATATTTTGGATACGCTTTATCACTTATGCCATTTGCAAATATCTTTTCCCATTCAATAGGTTGCTTTTTTAGTTTTGATGGTTTGCTTCATTGTGAAACTTGAACCTCTTAAGGGCTTTTCATACCCGTAAAATTTCTCTGTATAGGTGGCTTACTCATTCTTGAATCCCTAGTGGGTTTTCATTATAAGCTATTTTTTTTTTAAGATTTTATTTTTGTGTAATCTCTACACCCAATGTGGGGCTCAAAGCCACAACCCTCAGATCCAGAGTCACATGCTTTACCCACTGAGCCGGCCAGGCACCCCTTGACTATAAACTATGGACCTAGAACTTTTATATGACTGGAATGTCAGACATGAAAACACTGCTGAAAATAACGAATATGGTACTTGGTCTGAGACTGTACTACTTGCGTGACACTGTGATGTGCTGTAGAAACAATCATCACATTGAATCCTCACAGTGACCCACGTTTTGTTGGTAGTTTTGGTCACATAAATAAAATGGGGGGAAATGGCCAAAAAACTTAAGGTCACACAACTCATAAAACGTGGACCCAGACATCAGGCATTATTTTCCTGATTTCATCTTCTTCCCCCTGTATAATTGCAACCCCAGAATTTAAATCCTTTTTGAGTTGTGGACTGAATGCTTGGGAGGCACGAAGTACCAGTGAGTTGGAAGCAGTAAAGAAGAAGGGAGAAGCAGTTCAAAAAAAAAAAAAAAAGCATATTGTCTTATGCTTATGTTATGCTTATGCTTATGTTACAAGAGTTTACGAACTGACAGAACACAGTGTTATTAGCAGGGCAGTTTAACCAACGAGTTTTTATTAAAAGCCGGGGTGCACCAGGCACAATTGTACAGGAGGCTAACAAATCCAAATGTTGTAACTAATTCATTTATTAGCTTGTCTGATCAAACAAAATACATTTCATAGAAATGATTATAAAACGCATTGCCGATAGAAACAGAGTATCATTTATATTACAGAACTTATGGTACCTAAATAATTATTAATAAAAACCAGCCAACTCATATGGGAAACAGAAGTTAGTAAACCACCAGTTACTTCTTTATTTTCGTCAGCAAGAGGGAGAAGCATGCACTTGTCATGCTCCAATGGGCTTCAGCGTTCACTATGGACATCCTGTTTCAAAAGTAACATAGTTCACCTGTCCATTTAAAAGTTCAGTGTTTTTCATCCAGTATCAAAGCACTATGGTACTTTTTGGTTTAAAGATTAGTTTTGGTTGCAGAGTAAGCTTAATTTAGTACTTGAGTCGCATGTGTCACAGTTTCTGGATCTGGGGTGGGTGCTGACCGGTCCAGTTAAGTGTTAGTTGAACAAAACACAACACACGTGGGATAGTTTAATCTGCTCTGTGATATTCTTGTCAGTACTCGATTGAGAAGATATACAGGTGATTTAAAGCAGAACAGAACAGCAGGAGGGGGGAAAAGAAAAACATGTTGGTGTTGCTTGAGGCGAGTCTGTCTGTTAGAGCTATTTCTTGCTGTTTTGGAGAGTTCTGGCTAATTCTTGTAAGGATCGTATCAAGTTTATTGGCACGTGATCTATTCCTTACTTTGAAGGTTGGTTCAGAGGGGTGTACAGGAGAGAAAAGGGGCAGGGAAAGGACCGAAAAGGCATGGAGTGGAGTGTGTTTGCTGACAGTCAAGTTAACTGTGGAACCACAATCATCCGAGAGGGTGTCCACCAAGGCCCTTCCTGAGACCTCCAGAGATGGGTCTGTTTTCTTGAGGAAGCAGCACTGAAAACTTCCTCAGACAGGGTCCATGTTTATTGCACAGGAACCAAAATTATTTCTCTTCCCCCCTTTCCTGAGCTGGAGACCTCCAAGTGCACACATGGCTAGGGATGCCCATCAGCTCGCTCCTCTGGCCAGCAGGGAGCGCTCCACCACAACGACTGGGGGAACGAACACTTTCTTCAAAGGGAAGCACGAGGTATCATGTTGGCCCGAACAATGTGGTCCTTCAGTCACCATTCTCAAGCAGCTTCTGTAGGTTGTTTTGTATCTTAAAATAGTAAGAGAGAAGTTCCTGTTATTAAAGAGAATGGAGGGGCGCCTGGGTGGCTCAGTTGGGTAAGCATCTGACTTCGGCTCAGGTCATGATCTCACGGTTCTTGGGTTCAGGCCCCAAGTCGGGCTCTGTGCTGACAGCTCAGGGCCTGGAGCCTGCTTCAGACTCTGTGTCTCCCTCTCTCTCTCTGCCCCTCCCCCGCTCATTCTCTGTCTCTCTTTCAAAAATAAACATAAAATAAAACCCAGAATGGAATATATCAAGGGCCTATCTGCCATGGCGTACATCATTCTGAGAGGAATCGATTCTACCTGGAATAAAAAGCTACCCATGGGTTCAATTTAAATCAGGCAAATGCTTTTAAGTGGAATAAAACTCTGTTGATAATCCACTTTAAAGTGAAAAAAAAGTGCTAAAAAAAGAAAGAATGGCACTGCAATAAAATGTCAGGAAAGACCAAGACAAGTCTGATGGAAGAAAAAGAACAAAAGCACAGGACACACCAAGTGTGACCTAAATGCAGAGAGTGGGAAACTGATCCTTAAAGAGCCTGTGTATCATGTGGTGTCTGATTCAAATCATCAATGTTTAATACTCCTACCAGATATTATACATTTCCCAGATGACTGAATGCCACAGATGAAGGGTCCATGACATGTCTTTGGATCTCGAGACTACAGTTCAGTGTTGGGCATTAAAAATGTGCTTGGTAGAGGTCTACTGAGTAAGCGAACTTGGAAGATTTCTGAGCAAGGAATTCTCAACGAGCAACAGTGTGATGGCAGTGGGGAACCCCATGGGACAAAAGAAAGAGGATATGTGTATGTTTTTGTGGAACAGTCTGCAACGTCCTGTAGGCAAAGAGGGAAGGATGTAGAATGCATGTGCCCCGAACTTCATGTGTGCTCACCTTAACCACACAGAGAAAATTTCACGTATGATGTGGAGACACCACGAAACAAGACCAGCTACACAGACAGGAAGTAGCAGAGGATGGATAAGAACACGGGTCTGTCTCTTCACTGCTCCATCACTAATGCCATTGGCAGCACTAAGAAGGTACGTATTGGTGCACCTGTGTGGCTCTGTCGGTTAAGGATCCAACTCTGGCTCCGGTCATGATCTCACAGTTCACGAGTTCGAGCCCCACATCGGGCTCTGTGCTGACAGCTCAGAGCTGGAGCCTGCTTCGGATTCTGTGTCTCCCCATCTCTCTCTGCCCTCCCTTTCTCGTGCTCAGTCTCTCTCTTGCTCTCTCAAAAATAAATATTAAAAAAAATATATTTATTTCATTACCGATGAAAGGCATTGCCTTCATTCTCTCATTCCTACTCCCTATCTTTCCTACCTACCCCGCAGGACCCAAGATAAACAGAAAAGCAAGAGTGGGAAGGTAGAAAAAGAAATGAAACAAAGGAATTACGACCAAAATATATAAAACACACCTACAAAGAAACTCAAACCAGGGGGATAGCTGCTATTTCACCGCCAGGCTGTGCTGCATCGCTCTAGCGGAAGCCATGCATGAGGCATGGCCACTGGTCTGCCTGTTGTGGACAGGCTCTCCTGTTTCTGTGTCCCTTCTTACAGCATGTGGTGCCCTAGCCAGGCCTGGCACAAGAAGGGGGCAGTGGGATTTGGTGTGCGCTTCTGGTCCAAGAATACCACTGTATGCCAGAGTGAACAAACCAGAGAATTCACATCATCCCATCCTCTAGGTCAGCATGGAAGCCAAACACTTGTAAGCATTTCATCACAAAACCAGAAAACTACCTCCACTTCTCAGCAACTAATGTTTTATTGATTTACTCTCGAAAGTTAATTTATTTTGAGAGAGGGAGAGCAGGGGACGGGCAGAGAGAGAGAGAGAGGGAAACAGAGAATCCCAAGTAGGCTCTGCACTGTCAGCGCACAGCCTGACATGGGGCTTGAACCCACGAACCATGAGATCATGACCTGAGCCAAAACCAAGGGTCGGACCCTTAACGGGTTGAGCCACCCAGGCACCCCTAGGATGAAATATTTCTAGGGAGGAAAAGCAAAAGATAGACCAACAGGGAAAATGAGATTGAGACCTAGGTCTTTGTGGAAATAAAAAATACTCTTTCACATTTACCGTGCAGTCCCCTGGCTGGGTTTGGCCATTTAGGCTGCTTGCTGCACCCCGGAAGTGTTTTAAGCGTGTCGCCCCTGCTCTGTGGCCATCAACAGTCACCACCGCTACCACCCCAACACAGGAAATAAATGAGTCACCTTTTCTAATTTCATTATGTTAGCTGTAAGCTCTTGGCAGAGGACCTCCACGTTTAATTGGACTTGTGACCCCAGGCCGGATGGTGCTGTCTGTCTGTAAGAACAAAAAGAAAAACGCTGTGGGCAGGCGGGGGTGGCAAGGGAAGAAGTGGAGTGAACACAAATTTATTTGAACAGAAAATCAGGTTACAGTAGTAGACAGTGAGCCTTTAACTTGTGAAGATTACTGCAGGGCCTTTCTGATGTTAAGTCCAGACTGGGTGTTGAGGGGACTCTATCTTAAAAGCTCAGCTGGAAGTCTCTTAAGCTGTTTTTGTTGAGGTGGCTGTGTTGTGCCTTGGCTTCCAGACAAAAATCAGGCAATTCTGCTCAAGCACATGGCTTCTAAGACCTCTTTTGTTAACCTCTAATGTCCTCTCCATCCCCACTACTGCAGAAATTTCCAAGAATTACTGCTCTCCTCAGTCACAGGCATTTTTTTTTTTTTTTTTTTTTACAGGAGGAGGAGCCATTTACACTAGAACTTGCAGAATGTTTAGGAATGTCCTTAATCAAATTGATTGCTTTTGAAGTGTGAGACTTTAGCAATTCTGTTTTTGAGACTTGCCGTGCCAATGTAACCGCTGTGGTCTTGTAACAGATGGAGTCAGTGTTTACCATTTGAACTGTTTATGGCGTGGGCTCTACTCTTCCCCAGGGTCCGCTGGGGTCATCTACCAGCTAAAACTGTAGGAAATTAAGAGATATGTACATTATCCTGGAGATGTATGTACATTATGCTCTGAAGGCGTTTATTGGATTTTTACATTAAGGTTTAGAACAGGGGTCTAGAACTTATCCGTGTTTCTTGATTGTAATTTATTTTTAGATATTAAGTTTTTAGATGGCAATGATGGGTCTATTTTACACAGGATCAGTTTTTCACATGGTAAATTTCAGATGGTGATTTACTTGGTAAATTATGATCATGTAAATATTAACAGAGCCATCAGATGTTTTTGTGTTTACTAGTACTAAAACAGTTTTTTCTTTACCCTTGATCCCTACCATCAAAATCTTACATCTCAAAAAAGGAGGCTGAATGGGAATGTTTCAGTGTTTAGATGAGGGAACTGCGATCCAGAAGACTGACCCATCAACATGAAATTCTGAGTGTACAGGCTATTAATATACTAGTGAAGCTGGTAAAAGGAATGGATTCTGGTACAACTAAAGAATCCAAGTACAAACAGGGATTTAGCTATCGGGCAGCGTGGCTGGAGCACCTTGGAGTAAGAAAGATCCGGGGGAAGCTCAGGTCCTGTAAAAGTACTTTATGAACAAATTTTTCCCATCATGGGTATTCCTGGTCTCATGTCATAAATAATCATTGTGATTTTTCCTGTAAGTGATTATTTTTCAGATTGTACTTCTTCCTGAGTTGATTATTTAAATAGTGGAATGAAATATTCCATTTGCCCTTGTTAGTGGCATTTCCCCCTCATCATCACCAAGTTAGTGAAATGATAATAGGACATGAGGTAACACTTTCCTAAAAAAACAAACAAAAAAACAACCTTGTATATGATAGTGAACTAGGAAGTAACACTAGATTTTTGCAGACTAAGTATGTTAACAATTTGAGTAAGGGTATGCACTATTTCAGACTATTTAGGTTCTGCATTACTTGTTTAAATATATATATATATATATATGTATATATATGTGTGTATATATATGTATATATATGTGTATATATATGTGTGTGTGTGTATATATATATATATATATATATACACACATATATATATATATTATTCTTTAGGTTCTGCATTACCTGTTTAAATATATATATAACCAGTAATGCAGAACCTAAAGAATATATATATATACATATATATAATATATATATACACATATATATAATATATATATGTGTGTATATATATATATACACACAAACCGTTAACAATTTGAGTAAGGGTATGCACTATTTCAGACTATTCTTTAGGTTCTGCATTACTGGTTTAAATATATATATATATGTATATATATATATGTGTATATATATATGTATATATATGTGTGTGTATATATATATAATATACACA